TCAAATAAATATAACCAATGCAGAATCACATTATATTGACGGACCTGTTCAATATAATGAATTTGATTGTGGACTGTTTATATTACTAATGATATGACATTTATTACTTCCAAATCCACAACAACATGTTAATAATTTCACTGAAAATATATATAATATATTAAAGATTTTTCTTACATAACGAACTACAAACAAACCAACTACAAGAAATATATCCTCTCCCACATAAACAATATACAACACAAAAATATATTTGCAAATTATTTATTAAAATAACAAATACAATAGAATAACAAACCAATGCACTTCGAATAAGATAAAACATTTTAATAATATTTAATTTAGAAAACTTATTAATTAAAAAAAACAACCAACATAACAAAAAAAACTAAAAATATATGAACTTCCTTTGAAAAGCTCTCGCGACTGTCCATTTGAGTACGTACAAATTCTTGCTACAAAATTTTACTTCGGTAACCTTTCTAACCACTAATCAAAAACAAACCTCTACGCTTTCAACTTTGCACAAATAGTTTCAACAAACACTTAAGCATATTATACTTTATTTCTAAATAAATACGAAAAAAAAAAAAAACATATTTTTTATTGTCTTCTGTCTATTTTATTTGTACATCATCATTGAGTACGAAAAAAGATATACAAAAAATCAAGACAACCAACAAAACAATACTAATACATCGTAAGTATTTATCACTATTTTCTATCAAAAACATATTTTATAATTAAAAAAAAAATCATTAAAATACAAATAATCAAAGTCACCAGCCAATACGTACAAAGGTCTTTAATCCAACCTCTGTACGTAAGGGTGTTAAAGGTCTCATTCAAAGTCCTAACTTAATTTTTTTTTAATAAGTTGTCGATTATGTGAAATACACATCCAAACGCCGTTTACCCTACAAAAAATAATAAAACAAGAAAACCCCAAAACAAATTACCAATAAAAAAACATATTTATAATTTTGTACACATATAACAAATACAAATAACATGTTTACAATTCTATACTCATATTCATTACATGTATTCTTTGTTTTACATGTTTGATATTGAAACACTCAAGAGAAAACGCGATCAAATCGACAAAGACATACAACAAGTTCGAGATATTTCAGAAACAACCCTCACTACAGTTAAAAGTTGCATAGACTGGATGACAGACATGCGAGCGACAGGATCAAAAACCGATTTATCTATTGGACAAGAAGACATTGTTGTATACACAGAAAAACGAATAACAACACAAGGAGATAATATTTAAGATGTCAATTTAGCAGACAAAGATTTATTTAACACATCAACACTCGATAACATAATAGATGTATTAGCAAAAAACGTTACAATGCTAGAAAAATGATATTCAAATACCTTAAAAAAACAACAATCTAGCACGTTAAAGAAAACCATCAACCGCCACCGATTAAAACTTATTTTTAACATTTTAATAATATTTAATTTAGAAAACTTATCAATTAAAAAAAACAACCAACATAACAAAAAAAACAAAAAATATATGAATTGCCTTTGAAAAGCTCTCGCGACTGTCCATTCGACTACGTACAAATTTTTGCTACAAAATTTTACTTCGGTAATCTTTTTAACCACTAATCAAAAACAAATCTCTATACTTTCAACTTTGCACAAATAGTTTCAACAAACACGTACGCATATTATATTTTATTTCTAAACAAATACGAAAAAAAAACTAAAGTATTTTTTATTGTGTTCTGTCTATTTTATTTGTACATCATCATGGAGTACGAAAAAAAACATACAGAAAGTCAAGACAACCAACAAAACAATACTAATACATCGTAAGTATTTATCACTATCTCTGTCAAAAACATATTTTATAATTAAAAATAATAATAATTAAAATATAAATAATCAAAGTCACCAGCCCATACGTACAAAGGTCTTTAAGCCAACCTCTGTACGTAAGGGTGTTAAAGGTCCCATTCAAAGTCCAAACTTAAAACTTTTTTAATAAGTTGTCGATTATGTGAAATACACATCCAAACGCTGATTACCCTACAAAAAATAATAAAACAAGAAAACCCAAAAACAAATTACCAATAAAAAAACATATTTATAATTTTGTACACATATAACAAATACAAATAACATGTTTACAATTTCATACTCATATTCATTACATGTATTCTTTGTTTTACATGTCTGATATTGAAACACTCAAGAGGAAATGCGATCAAATCGACAAAGACATACAACAAGTTCGAGATATTTCAGAAATAACCCTCACTACAGTTAAAAGTTGCAGAGACTGGGTGACAGACATGCGAGCGACAGGATCAAAAACTGATTTAGCTATTGGACAAGAAGACATTGTTGTATACATAGAAAAACGAATAATAACACAAGGAGATAATATTTTATATGTCAATTTAGCAGACAAAGATTTATTTAACACATCAACACTCGACAACATAATAGATGTATTAGCAAAAAACATTACAATGCTAGAAAAATAATATTCAAATACCCTAGAAAAACAACAATCTAGCACGTTAAAGAAAATTATCAAGCGCCACCGATTAAAGTTTTTTTATATTTAAAAAGAACAACAACTCACAATTACAATGATCTTTTTAACAAAAAAATGCCAACATTTAATAAAAAATACAATAATCTAACACCGCCATTAGTAATAACAAATAACACATCATATTCCGTCTATCAGGCACCTGCACAAGAAACTCCACAACCACCATCAATACCACCACAACCAACAACAACAAAAACAAGGAAAAAATAACTTCATCACAATAAATACATTTCAAAGGCAAAACAATTTAAACATTGATTAAAACCTACTATAACAAACAAGTAAAAGTTTCATCGCTTTTGCATGTGTGCAATGTATATATATTTTTTTAATATGTATGTGTGTGTGTATGTAGGTATGCATATGTAGGTGTCTATGTGTGTGTATGTGTGTGTATGTGTGTGTATGTGTGTATGTGTGATGTGAGTGAAAGAAACAGAAAAAGATAAAGGCAAGGAGAAACTTTTGTAACATATACAAATACATAAAAATCTTATACGTTCTCTAATTTTATTCATACAAATGCTACACTTTCAATCTTTCTCATGTGTTCATCCTTCTCTCCTCCATCACTTTGCTGCTGCTACTTATCCACTTGCTTGTCTATACTCCGCTACAACGATCTGATCTTCCTCATTTGTTATGTTGCACCTTCAATATGTACCTCATTTTCTATTTATATATGTAGGCTGACTAATTTTTCATAAAAATAAAAGACTTAGATGATTACTCCTGCACGAGTGAATTATGCCAGTCTATAACTTTGCTATAAAAATATGTCCTTTGATAAGCTAATACCTATGAATTTTAATTTCTGTACATACCGCTTGCATTCATAAACAATCATGAACGTTGCTTTTTGCTTCACCTCTACACAAAAGGGGTACCAACATGTCCTATCCCATAATTTGCAAGAGTAACTTTGACAATTTATTATCCTCAAAAGGACTTTCTCTTTGCTAGTTCCCCCCCCTCTACTCTCTCTCTCTCTCTCTCTCTCTCCCTCTCTCTCTCTCTTTCTCTCTCTCTTGCACGCGTGCGCTTAGTCTCATTGCTCTTTCATCTATATAAATGGCATATGAAACTAAAAAAAGGCTCTAAGTGAAAGCCATCAAACATTTTCCAAGAGTAATGGCTCTAAGTGAAAGCCATACGAAATGACATTTTTTGTAAAGCCAACTTCCAAATCTTTACAAAGACCTAACTACAAATGACCCTAAGCGAAGCCGCAACAATCTGACCCATATTCCAATTTTGACAATCAACATCTCTCTCTCTCTCTGTGTCAGCCGAGGAAAAAAAACTCCAACTTCAGTGATTTTTCACACTTAGAAGAATATGTGGCAAATGCTGAAAATTGGACTGCTCCTACAGTCAGTTGTCATCTTCTTAACTTTTTTTTTTTTTTTTTTTTAAATCATTGTAAAATCAAACAAAACTCTCTCTCTCTCTCTCTCTCTCTCTCTCTCTCTCTCTCTCTTGTGTTAGCTCTTACTCTCATTGATTTGGCTACCTTAAGGCTGCGTTCCCCGTGCCCACGCGGTAGACAATTTCGTCGTGCATGATCTCCCTGTTTTGAGAAGACGGGGCTCAATACCTGGGCCAGAGGGCCCTTTTGCAGTTCACATGCCCGCACTTCTTTTTAGGGTCCGCTTCTACCCGGGGACCGGTCCAACGCCCCCCACTTCTTTTTGGGGTCCACTTCCACCCAAGGACTGGTCCTTCCTTTTTCCGAAAGTCCCGGTTTTAGAAGAGCTTGCTGTAGGTAGTCCGCAATTTTGCCAAGGACCGGTCCCCAAAAAACATTTGTCCCCTAAGAACCCACTTTGCGTCCTGGTCGCCCGCCACCGAAAATGCGACACCTTGACACAGACGCGGAAGCACACTATACCGCAGCCTTAGGGCTGCAAAATTTTCCCATCCCTGGTTGTGGTACCGCATATTCCCAAGCCCCGTGGCAGAGGGGAAAAAAAAAAAAAAAAAAGCCCCGTGGCTCCGCAGGCCGCTGACAAAAGGGTGCACCAATATGGTGTTTGCGGAAATGGTGTGCCTGTGTGACTACCCCTCAACCCCAATTTTTAGTGCAATTGGGATTTTGGGTACCGGTGTGAGCGTGCCCTGAGCTGGGCCGGTTGGTGAGTCCCAAAAAAACAGAAAAGGAAAATCAGCTTCGGGAAGGGAAGGAATTAGCGACGGAAAGACGGTAAGGTAGTGAAGAAACCAAACAAAAAAAAGGGTCCTTCGGGAAGAAAGGGAAAGAGGGAGCCTCAAGGTACATGCGGCTCCGTGTGCAGTGACACGTGGCATGAGTGGTAAAAGCGACACAGCGAATTGTTGTTTTCGTTGTAATAAAGGAGACCGAGAGAAGGCGTGGTTATGACACGTGGCTCGGAAGCCGCGGTAAGCATCGGTGAGCGGCCAAAACGCGGGTTGGGGGGTGCTGACTAGGCAGTCAGGCACGTGCGCCACGTGGCTCAACGATTGGAGAGTGCTGTTGGCAGAAAAAGTCGCACGCATGTGTCGAGGCACCCGCTGAGGAGGCCACGTGACTAAGGGATCAGCAATTGGAAAACGCGACACGTGTCGACGGAATTTCGGTAAGAGGCCACGTGGCTGGAGGACACGTCGTCAGGAAGAACCTGTGGGCGTGGCCCACGCCGCGAACAAATATCTCTTTGGCGGGACGGTAATCGATCTGGAAAAGGGGAAGGATGGCCTCGTGGTTGAAGCGCGCCGAAGGTAAGGTGGAGGGGTTGGTGGGTGGGTGTTTGTCCCCATCCAATCCTCATTGCGTCCCTTCTCTCTACTTCAACTTTGCCCCCTCACCTTCTCCCCCCCCCCTCCCCCCCCTCCTCTTTTCCCTCGCCTTTTCTCCCCAACCCTCTTCGGCCTCTCGCTGATTAACTGCGCGCCTGGTTCCTCTCCGCTTTTTCAAACCTTCTTGCTGTGTGCTGTCTTCTGAGTACCCCATCGATGTAGGGCTCGCTCCATTACCGGGGTGGGCTCCCGGTACCATCGATGTAGGGCTCGCTCCATTACCGGGGTGGGCTCCCGGTAATCTGGCATATGAAAGGTAGGGTGTGCATGCATTTACCGAGGTTCAATGGAACGTACTTGTGGCATTTTTCGACATTCCCCTATGGTAGTAGTAGTGACTCTAGTGAGAGGCTGGATGGCTGGACTCTCTCTCTCTCTCTCTCTCTCTCTCTCTCTCTCTGTGGCTCAGTACTCTCCGCCGCCACGACGCGTGCCCTCTCTTTCTTGTCAGTTTCCAAGGCCCTGGTTGAAGCAGGGAGCAAACTTCTCGTTGAAGTATGGCCCCTACATACTAAATAGAGAGATGGAGGGACATTTTGTTTGCTCCCCAAACAGGCAAGTCGGGATCATCTCTGAACAAGCAGTGTTCCTCTACACTCCTCATCCAGTTCCTCTACTCTCCCTTCCTCCCCTCTCCCTTACTACCTTCATCTTTCTACTACTTTCCGCTTCTCTCTTTCGCCGTCTCTCTCTCTCCCTTCCTCCCCTCTCCCCTCCTCCCTTCTCCCCGTTTCCCTTTCCTCTTTCTCTCTGCGCCTGCCTCTGCTCGACTCTGTTGGCCAATCCTCATCTCCTCCTCCTCCTCCTCCTCCTCCTCCTCCTCTCGTCGCCATTTTTCTGCGCGCAACGCTTGTGGAAACTAGACTAGAGGAAAAGAAACGAAAGGACACGTGAGGAATTGAAGCCCAGTTCTCTCTCTCTCTCTCTCTCTCTCTCTCTCTCTCTCTCTCTCTTTTTAAGCCCAGTTCCCTCCCCCCCCTCCCCCCTTTGTTTCCCCTGCTCGCTCATGAGGCCGCGAGCGACTTGTTGTCTGAGTCCCAACGAAACCTGTCGCGCAGTTGAAAGAGTATAGTTCCTGGCTGACTTCTGGATATAAATCATGTAGGGATCTGGACGTGATTGCGGTCAGATTCGTCCACGTGGACGTGTGGATATCACTCACTCATCACAGTTGCGAACTCATCACTCACTCATCACAGTTGCGAACTCATCTCGCAGGTGTGTGACATGCATGTCATCAGAGAGTGGCTTGCATGTTTTAAAGCTGTGAAGGGAGAGGGGGGGGGG